CAGAACAGATTAAATTCGTAACTCAAGGTACCACTGTATTTGTATAATCAGTTACAAACGGCATCCCATATTTTCATTATTTCTTTGATTGAAGATGCAGTTATCCTTTTGAGTTTGTATATTTCTTATTACATAAAATGTATAGACATCTTTGCTTGCAATTCTGTCTTTTCTTTGAACTCATTATCTTGAAACTAATAAAATCTTTATGTGAGTGGGCCAATATATACCAGATACATTTGTTCTGATGGTCACTGTAACTTATTAAAAAAAGATGACTAATTATGGATACATTCAGGTTACTAATTAAAAATTAAAAGATGACTAATTATTAATACATACAGGGTACTTGCCTTTTGTTACAGCTCAGCATATGCCTCTTCCCTTTCCATGTTTTCCTTTAAGTGAATGATTAATATTAAATGAATGAGGCTTTGGATTGAAAAAAGTTATACATTCATGTTATAAATAATTATATGTATGATTTCTTTGTGTTTTCTTTTTTAGGCTATGATGGAACAGTCCAAGAAATCATCATTAGTAGTTGCAAGAAGTATTCTTAATAATAAACTTATCAGTAAAAAACTGGAGAGGTACCTAAAGGTTAGCATAACATTTTTTTTCTAATACTAACTTACTTTTACATGCGCTGTATTTTTTCAGCACACTTCTGGTGTTTGTATTAAATTTGTCCTTATTTTCTCTTCATGCATTCAATTTCTTCTTTACATTTTTCGCTGTATCTCATTTTTTGTTTCCAAGTCCAGATTCCCAGTCTTCTATTTCTCAAATTTTATTTTTTCACTATTACAGGTTGCAGTTTTGATAGTGCAACTAGTTCCTTTACTGCTAGTTATCATTCTCACTTTTAGCTGCAGAATGAAGGATTATTGACATTTAAATTTAAGTATACTCAGTGTTTCTCAATTATATGCATTTTCCTGTGAGAATGGATATGTTTTCTTTTTAAAAAATGGATGTTACATACTAAGAATAAAAAGTAGGTAGTGTGCTGGTTCATTAATGGACAGCACATTCTCCCTTTTCAGAAACTTTACTACAGAACATTATCAAGATGTGTTTTGGTTGGAATGTCGTGGTTCCTAAAATAGATCTATCCACTTTCATCCTTATGCAGTAATTGTTTTTAATGTTCAAACTTCAATCACAAGGACCATATCACAAAATAGATCTGGAGAGTATCAGCATGCTGGCAAGATTGTCAAAATGATTAGAGAAACAATAGAAATGTATAAGCATCCAAATAATTCATATCAGGAATATAGTTATCAGCAATCATCTGCATGGCAGTTAGTGATTGGTTGTAGGCATTCTGCTCCACTGACCTCGGACAACATATAATGATATGTCATCTGTTGCCCAATTTAAGTTTCAGATCTTCTCTGAAGAAGTGAACAGCATGGCTAGCAAAAAGCACATATTCAAGAGTTCCAACTTTTCCTTTCTTCCCACCCAACATGCATCCCAAATCTGCAGCAGAAAGTTCCTTGACCTCCTAGAACAGATCTGGAATGTGTGTAGTGGTTAAACATCTGTTTTATTGGCAGAATGGTACCATCAGTGGAATTATGCCATTTAATTATTTTCAGGTGTCATTCCCATTGCATTAATTAAAGTTACTTCCCCATATATATTTGCATAAAGCATATTTTTTTACATTGCCAGGCATTGATAATTTCTGACAAAAATGTCTAAGACTCAATGCTGTGTTGTGTTTTGCAGGGTGAGAATCCCTTCACAGATGATCCTGAAGAGAAAGAGGAACATGAGGAAAGTGAGGCAGGAACAAGTGGGATCATTGAGGAAAGAGCAGCTGAAGGTGAAGGAAACCTAACTGAAGAGCAAACTAAAAGCGATGACAATCCTTCTGAGGAAAATCCAGTAGCTGAAGAAAGTGCAGAAAACAAAAGTGATGGAGAAGAACTACAAGGACGAATTGAAGAATGGAATTTGACCACATCCCAAGAAGATTTTCCTACTGAGCAGAATCCAGAACATGAAGAAGAAGAAACAGAAGAAAGACGAGACATTGTACCTTCAGAGGAGATGGAACCACCTGATGAGTGAACTTGCTAAGAAGGTTGAATCATTTTGAGACTCTGCATTAAATCTTCTAAAACCATACCTGTATTTGTGATACCACATGGCATGTGGCTTTTGGTTCTCATTGACCTCACTTTCACCTAGTTATAGCCTTTATTTGTAAAGTGTTTTTGAAAATAGCTTTTTTAACCAAATTTTCATTGTATTAGCTAGGTTTTGTGCAGTACAATTTTTAAGTGGCTTTGTACTAGGAAAAATACTTTTTTTAGTAAATAAAATCAAATTTTGTCAATTGGCTTATACCATGCTAAAACCTTGGGAGGGTAAATAACCTCTAAGTTTTCCCATTTAACTTTGTATATAGTTGAAAATGTTTTAGTTCCATAGCTAGTCTTGTCTGAAAATGTCAGTAGCAGAATTCTGGATTTTAAATTCTGCATGATTGGAATAACTTCCATGCAATTGTAGCATTCTTCTATCTTTTTACTTTTAATATTCAAAAAAGACTTGGGTCAGCACAATAATTTTGCAGTTCTTTTATTTAAGGGGGAACATTTGCAATAGTTGGTTATAAAACACTATTAGGACTGCGTGTGTAAGTTTCTGATAGAAGCAGCAAGATTGTGATTGTGCAGAAAGCCTCAAGGAGAAATAAATGCATTCTGGCACTTTCCTAAAATGCAATTTATATTATTCTGTTTGAGATCTGGAGGATCTCTTAATTTCTGCTTATTTTAGATGGATGTTCTGAAAATGAAGGCTGTAGTAGCCCAACACAGGTCTACTGATGAAGAGTGTTACAAAACATTAAATATTCCCTTCAACGCAGGTCTTCAAGTTGTCTCATTTTAAATCTTCCAAATCATCTCCAATGCATTTGTCAGGAATATAGTATTGCTTCATTGTTTCTTTGTTTTTTAAGAATCCCAGGCATTAATGCCATAAGTTTATTTTAACTCCTGCCGCTACCCCAATTGCTTTCCAAGCAATAATGGTACAGCTACTGCTACTCTTGTTCATGCTCAATTTATTATCCTCTTGTTTCTCTTTATGTACATGCCTTCTTCCTGTAGTGGAGATCAAGCAGTGGAACTGGAAAATGTTCACTGGACATATTTTTCTGGATGCCTGCAACATTAGACAAGAGAAGGGTGAGTGAAGGAATCATTATACACTGGGATGGAGGCCTTGCTGCCGTATAATACTCCTGCTTCCTTAAGCCCTCAAGCACCAAATAGCTGGTGGAGAAATATGTCAAAGTAAGATTTGTGAGTAAAAAGCATCTTAGCAATGTATTGAATTGACAAAAATTGAAACGTTGAAAAAGGTTTCAGTGTATTGCTTATTCTTAATGTATAATGACTCAAGTGTTCATAATGGTAGATTTGTCTTGTACTCAATCAAGTTGTAGATAATAATAAATTTTATGAATGTTGGGAGTACTGAAATTCCAGTATAAACTTGTATTTATGCATCTGGGCTGGCATCTTAAAAGGTATTAACTGTCGGTCTGAACAAAGAATGAGGAAGTTTCCAAACAGCTTTTGGGTACTATCTTTCTGGCAATATCTGACAGTGGCAGAGGTTGCTAATACTTGAGTAAGTATTCCACCTTCTTTCAACATTTGGACTCACATACATGCCAGTGGTATAAGTATGATTTGCAAAATGATATCAGCTGCCATGAGAACTTTCCTTACATCAGTCTGAATAGTGTTTATCAAGTCACATGTCAAGTCCCAAGGGAATAGCACTCACTCTTCTTTTAGAATATGCTCAAATGCATTTTTTCTTGTACTATTAGTCAATTTGTAAGCAAATTTACTTGTAGTCTGAATAAATATACTTAGGATTCAGCCTTACTACACATTGAGGTAAACATAAACTAAATCTATATTTTCATATAACTTTAAAGCCAGCGTTGTTGTTATATTTTTATCCCATCTTTTTAATCTATAATTCAAGGCGGAGAACATACCTAATTCTCCTGCCTCCTATTTTTCCCACAACCACCCTGTGAGATGGTTGGGCTGAGAGAGAATGAATCGTCCAAAGTCACCCAGCCAGCTTTCATGCCTAAGGGAGGCAGGCCTAGAACTCAGTCTCCTGGTTTCTTGGCCAGCACCTTTACCACTATACCAAACTGGTTCTCCAGTTTCTCCCTCTGGGTTAGGACATTTGTATAGGGCCATTTGCATTGATGAAGGGTGCTAACTTTTCCCTGGTATCTGATGTTTTCTTCCTATTGATCCTGCTCTCTCCTTCTCCCCCCACAAAATATACTGCAGCTGGGAGACAAATTTTGGAGAGGAATCCCCTTGTGTTTGAAATAAGGTACAACTGGATGGGAGCCAGTCTTGGATAAGAATTAATGAGGTTTGGAATTAAGCAGTTACAGGTAGTCCTCGACTTACAACCACAATTGGGACTGGAACTTCTGTCACTAAGCAATGCGGTCATTAAGTAAGTCGTGCCCTATTTTAGGACTTTTTTGCCATGGCAGTTAAGTGAATTGCCACTGTTGTTAAGCAAATCTGGCTTCCCCCTTTGACGGTTGTTGGAAGCCCTTTGGGAAGGTCACAAATGGCAGTCACGAGACCCCAGGATGCTGAAACTATCATAAATACATGCCAGTGCCAAGCACCCAAATTTTGATCACATGACCACAGGGATGCTGCAATGGTCATAACTGCGAGGACCAGTCATAAAGTCACTTCTTTCAGTACTGTCGTAATTTCAAATGGTCATTAAATGAACAGTCGTAAGTCAAAGACTACCTGTACTTTGTAGATCCTCATCTGCAAATTATGCTTTGATACTCCAGTTATATAACCTTGCTTCAAATAATGTCTAAGACAGTTTTGAAATTTTGAATCTGTATATGTCTACCTGAAATAAGATGTTACTGTAATTACTGAATCTTTCTTCCAAATTACATAGGCAGGTGATTGCGTGTAACTGCAACTATGACTACCTAATTAAGTAGAAATTCAGAAGTTCCCGAATGTTTGTTTCTATTATTTATAGAGCCAGTTTGATCTAGTGGTTAAGGCTCCAGGCTAGAAAGCAGGAGATTGTGAATTCTAGTCCCGCCTGAGGCATGAAAGCCGGCTGGCTGACTTTGGGCCAGTTGCTCTCTCTCAGCCCAGCTCACCTCACAGGATTGTTGTGGGAAAATAGGAGGAGGAAGGAGTATTAGGTATGTTCGCTGCCTTGAGTTATTTATAAAAAAACAATAAAGGCAGGATAAAAAAGTCTAAAAAAAAAAGTGTGTACCGGATCTGGCTGCGGCTGTTGGTTTCCACATTGGATTTTGAGTTCAGTCCTTTTTCTTTCATGTAGCAGCTATTTAAGCTATGTATAATTGTTGTTCTGTGGAACCATTATTATGTTAGAGTTCAGTTTTCTAAGTTACAGTCTGGAGATTTCAAAAGCACATTTCTGAACTGGAGTTACAGTTTCCATATTCTTAGAATCTAAAAGAAATTTCCATTTTTCTGACAGAATTTCTTCTGTTGAAGCACATGGAAGAAGATTTAAGTAACCTGCCCACCCTACAATCCCTTGCTCATTTACATACTCTGTCCAGATAGTTGGAAATATTCCTTAATACAATTTGAGGATATATAAAGTCTGACAGGTGGAGGAAAGGAGTCAATAGCTGCGTTTCATAAACCGATATGTGCTTGTCCATGGTTTTCTTAACGTAGAAGGAAAATTCCAATAACTAGTTTCTTTTGCTGTCTACTGTATGAGGAAAGTTGTAGAATAGTTTTCTTTTATGCACTTTTCATAGTCACATAAGTATTTCCATTCATATTGGTATAAAGTGTTGATGCTCTTCAACTATTAGATTCTGAATGAAAAAATGAAATAAATAGGAAAAGATTTGTAATGCCATTTTCCTATGAATCACAAAATACACATCTTAATTAGCTGTCACTGAACAAATATCTCAAGTTTCATACTGTTTTTGATCTCAGCAACAGTGCTTTCCTGTGACATAAGTGGCTTAGTAAAAGGCTTTAAAATTTTATCTTCCCAATTCAATTGTTTTTCCAAGGAAACTGGAAAAAAGGTGGTGATTGGCATAGTAAGCTCTGAGAATTTAATCACAAAGAGCAAAAGTGATTTTAAAGTTCCATTGTTCTGCTCATAGATTTTTCATGCACCCATTCTTTTCCAATTTTATTAGAATTGATGTTAAAAATTACTTAAATTGCTTATATTATGTTGGCTGAGCCTGACTAACAATTGTAGGAAAATGCTTGAGAAATTGATGGATTAAAGCTTTGAGAAAAGGAGTTAAAAACCCTTTCTCAGGTCATTGTATCTCTGGAATTGGTCCAAGAAGGCTGTTAAAATGGAGACGAAATGTAATCCATGGTAGTGCAGCAAGACAGATTACAGAGTTAGGACAAATATTTGGCTGCTTCACTTTTGTAGGAATAGATTGGTGGGCATAAGAAAGGGCTTATGGTGGTATAGCTGATTGGTGGAACAGCAATTCTCCTGAAGATGCTTTCTTTATCCCAGGGTGCCCTCCTGGGACAGACAACCAAGGGACTGATTTTGTATTTAGTTCCAATTGTTTAAAGATGATTCATTGTAGAAATGAACTCTCCTTACTCCTACTTCCATACATCACATAGCTTGAAACTGAAATATCAACAGCAATCAGACAGTTAGGAAACATACTATAACTTTTTATCTCTGCATAGGAGAAGAATGCTGGTATCATGCCTTTCTTTATAAACAATATAAATATTCTTACCTTGTAAAGAGTTATACCGCAGAATAATTCCATCTCGTCTCCTGTCACTGCTACCGTACCAGTTACTCTTCTGCTTGAATGTTATTAACTCTGTTCCTGTATGAAATACTAATTCTGCACATCAATTATTTTTAAAATTGTATTACTTTTCATGAACAACAGTGTTCTCTCCATATAAACACTTTTAAATCAAGTTACACTTGACTCCTAGTGACTGCATTCAGGCAGTTTTCATGGCAGCATTATGGAATGGCGTGATATTGCCGCCTTCTAGGATGTTTTTATGTCTTCTCAGTCTAGTATACAGCCCTGGAATCAGACATTCCTCCATTCAAATACTAACCAGGATTGATCCAGCTTTGCTTTTCAAATCAGCAAAGGTTGATAGGTGCCACTTGCTCAGACTTCATTATTGTTTAAAAAGATAAAGAGCACATCCAGACAGCCATATTAAGTGCTTTCCTTCAGTCCACAAGCCAGCAGAAAATTATGCTAACATTTGTGCTGCCCTTGTCATCAGTCCCTGTACTGCTTCAATAATAAACTTGGCAAGTGCTGTCCTTATTGCTTTAATGTAGGACAAGTTAAGAAAAATAATTGGTGGCTTCATCTGGCTTTATTTCCCCTCCCACTTAGTGTCACCTCTTAGTGGGAAAAACAACCACCAGTTCTCATTAATGAGTGACAGATGAATGTAGGTGCTTAGAATGTCTGATTTACTGTAGTCACCAAGTTTGATTAATAAATTGCAGGTGCAGAGCTGCTCTGTTCCTGTTTCCTCTCAGTGAGGCTCATTTTGAACAGAACCGTAGTGCTCTTCTGAAAACACTAAACTCATGTCCAAAAATAACCTGGCCGATAAGGTTGCAGACACACAGGAGTGGCACAGAATGAAGCAGGAGGGACAGTCAAGGAGGGAGCTCTGTCCTCAACCAGTGCTGCAGAGGAACGGCAGTGCTCGCAGTGAATGGAGGAAACAATAAAAACCAACACAAAACCCCCTGTTAGAAGCAGTGGAAAATCTGTAATGTATTCATTGGTGACAGAACCAGCAATAGCAAGCAGACCCCTGTTTAAATTGATCATCAATGCAACATAGAGCTGGTGTTCTTTCAAGTAAAAGTAGTCCTGTTCTTTAAAAAACATAAATGTAGTGCTCTTTCAAGGTTTCTAAACAACGTCATATACTGTAAATTGTCTGCATAAGATCTGACAAGCACTTTGCGAGCCATATATTTTTCTCTCCTGCAGTCTTAGCCAAAATGGCAATTAGGCACAGTGCCTAATGACCAGAAGGGCAAGGGGTTATCTACAGCTGCCTAAAGTGGCTAATAGGAGCTGGACACATCTCTTCCCCTTTCTGCATCATCAGCCTAATTGTCAGTGAAGTGTGATAGATTGTGTTGGGACAATTGGGAAAATACTATTTTAAACTGGAAATCTAAAGATGACTTTTATCTGCTTCATCTGTGGGCTAGGAATAATACAAAGGGGGTGGGTTGAGGACATGTGTAAAACAATTACTGGGACAAGTTTGTGCTGTGATTAAGGGGTTATGAGAGGCAGCCCAGTCTCCTGGTGAATTTATGGACACATCCCTGCTGTTTTCTTGTTTACTTCATCCTAAATTCTATTTATTTTGTTACTGACTTAGAATTAAGTAAACATAGAAGTGTAATTTTTAATCGGATTATGAGTGAAAATCAAATTGTCATCTTGAGATACAAGAAATCAGACTTGCTAAAGAGAACTATCACATTCATATTGCCCTGAATATTGTTCCATTTAACCACTGTTCATGGATGACAAAAGGAATTTTGAGATTTTCAGTTTAATATTTAATTTTTAAGGTATATATTGAGCATAACAAAGTAGCTTTAACACTGAGGACTTTAATGGAAATAGTGTGATCTGTTTGGGTTTCTTGGCCACCAGACCTCCCTGAGCATGTCATGTTATGAAAATGTTATAGAAAGTGTCTCAATAGTTTCCTTCTAGCATTTACAGCTACTGCCATATAATATTTATTTTATTTATTTACAGAACTTATATGACCTCTCATCTCATAGTGATTCTAGGCGGTGCACAACAAGCATAAAAGCAAGATAAAAACAAAACCATCCTTCCCCCCAGGTTCCAAACCAAACAGCCTCC